AACCCTATATTTTCTCGTTATCCTCGCGTTTTGCACGACACGTTTTATTAAAGTACGATAATTTTACGAGGGTCGGCCATCCTCCCGCCTCGGTCCGCCTCCTTCTTCTTCCACGGTTCGCCGCGCGAGATACTCATCTGCTTTTGTTTACTGTATCTTTGCTGAAACTCGATTCTTGTTTCCATATTTTCCGCGTTTCTTTTTTTCACACTTATCCCCCGATGTAATTTTATGTTCATTCTGTTAATTATATATGTAATCTCCAGTCGTTGTCGTTGAATATACTCGTATAAATAGTGTCAAATTTTTCAGCGTTTAATTGCGCGTGGATTTTTATCTCGTTTATCTGATACAAATATATATGATGCTAATTAAGACCATACGTCTCGGCACGACAGCGAAACGCGAAGACGTGACGCGTGATACGTCGATGAAAACGCAGGATATGATATGATCTTCTGTGCTTTTAATAACGCTCGCGAATAATATATTCAATTTTACTCGCACGTGTCTTTGTTATCTACGATGCAAATATACGTATGATGTTATTGTGATATTATCGTATCTGTAAGACACACTTTAATATGTTTTTTCTATGTTTAATATAAATATGCATAACACATATCTGATTAAAACACATGAAAAGATGAAGATTCGTATTCTGTTTTGCGCTAGTCGAAGCTAAAGGTGGAAAGTGAAGTCGATTTAATTTATAATTTTACTACTCTCGCGCGATCAATGTTAAATCTTTTTTAACCACTATAATTGCGTGAGTATCAGCACCGCGAAACGTGCATCGTGGTCGCCGTTGATTTCTCGCGCATATATCCGACTACGCTTCGTCGAGAGGCAGCTCGGCAGTAAAAGGCCTAAAGTTTTTAATACTTTCAGTTGTTTTTATGGCGGCTGGCATTTGCTCTTTTTTATTGTTTCTCCCCTTTCCCGCTGGCTCTTTCTCTTTCTCTTTTTCTCTCTCTCTCCCGCTTTCTCGCCGGAACGCGCATGAGAGTCCGAGCGTGTCGGTGGAAGAGAGAAGAGAGGAGATTCACAGTCAGCCCTCTCTGATGTACGACTCGGCGGTCCGCGTGAAAAAAATCCCATAAACCAGTAAAAAAGCATGGGGTCTCTGGGCCAGAGGGGACGCGAGGAAGAACGGAGCGGAGTAGAAAAGAAGAAGACGCGACGGGGGGAGCGGGAGGGAGAGGTTCCAGTATCGCCAAAGGAATTCCTCTTATGACGAACCACGCGTGATTTTCTTTCGTCTGCCCCTCTTCCCGCCTCCTCACCTCCTCAGCCACCGTCCTCAGCCACCGTCCGCAGCCTTTACCCGACACAGTCCCAATGCGCGTTTCTTCACCTTCGTTTCGGCCCTTTCTCTGCTTCTTCCCGCTTTGCTGCTCCTTCGTCCAATTCTTTCGCAAGTCTTAATCTTTCGCATCTGCCTATCTAATGGCGTCTTAATTAGCCATAGTAATGCCGAGGCGTTTTATGTCTTGGACATGAATAGGAGGAGGGAGGGGGAGCCGAGTCCCGCTAATCTTATCTTTGCCGTAAATTCTTAATGTTCAATTTTTTTGCTTTTGTAGTAATTTTTTATTGTTGTAAAATATTTGCGATATTGAAACCATTTTTTATTCAACGCGCAATTATCTGGAAAAAACTTTTGAGAAAAATAAACGTCATTCGTTTGGTCGAATAAGAATCATCGCGAATAATAATCGTATGCTTCCGGTCTATTTTCTTTCGATTTCTCTTCGTACGCACCT